GTAATGAATCCAACCAAGACCTGAGAGATGGATCTGATCCTTCAGTTTGTCCATCTACTGTTCACTGAAGCTTCATCAGAAATGGCCTCAGTCAAGGGTGGCCGTCAATACGACATTTTCAGGAAGGGAAACGGGGAGAAAAAGTTCATACATCTAAGAAAGCACCCAACTGACAACGATCCCAAACACGCTGACAATGCAGCGAAAGCAAACCTGGACCGAAAGACACCCAGCGCCTGATCCTCAGCATTAGTGAAGCAGAGTGGGATTATCCTGGCAGACAACAAAAAGGGAGAAACATCCAAGGAAGAGCTTTGAATGTCCTTCAAAAAGCCTGGAGGACGATTCCTGAAGACTACTTATAGAAATCCAGAGAAGCTGCCACACATACGGTCAGACCAAATATTAACTTTCAAACTTATTACAATTATACAAACTCTTTTTTTTTTTTTGCCTTGTTTCCATCCATTTCTCATTTAGCAGCATATAAAGAAATGATTTGAGACTTTTGTCCAGTTTTGTACCTTTGAGGCTTGGAAATGCATCAACAACCAGTCCAGAAGCCAACGGGTGAAGTCAAGCTGGCTACATCCATCTTTTAAATACAGTCTGGTTATGCCACCAAATGTGAGACAAGTGACTTTGAAATAAATATTGCAATAAAAGCTACACCTTTCTATTAAACAACTCGCAGCGCTACCTGTCCTTCCTCTCTTCTGTGCCGTCCGTCACCTGCCTCCATCTGTGCCTCCCTCCGTCAAGAGGAGCACTTTGCCGAGACCGGTGACAGTAATAAAGTCTGACTCAGTGAGGCTGGAAAGGATGTAAATGAATGTAGATGAGGATGAAGAGTAATTGCTCACACAGAGTGCGGTGAAAGGTGTGTGTCAGAGAGAGTGAACCCTTTGGAGGTCTTAACTGGAAATGGGTGGCCCAGTCAAAGAGGAGAGACCTCAAATATCTGTTTCTCTATTAATGTTGCTGAATGGATGGAGCAGACGGGTGAATGATGGCAGATGCAAAAATAATGGGGAATGATGTCACAGAGGAAGCAGCAGAGAGAAAGAGAAAGTTTTTAAGTAACAGGGGGGGAAGGAAGAAATTAAAGGTGGTTATTATCTCACTAAATATTACATGTTTTGTATTACTGATCATCTCATTCAGGAAAACTTAACTCATTCTGTTGGATAAGTGTGGAAAACTGATGTAGACATGCCAAAACAAGTCTATAAAGTGGTGCACACAACACCTCCAAAAACTTCAGTTGGGCGAGTCTCCTTCTCAAAGCGTACCAATGCTTTGGCGTTTTCAGTGCATCCCTGGAAAGGTCTGCTTTGACCACATATCCACTGCACTTTGAGATTTTACCACAGACATCAAACAAACATCAACTTCTGTAACCTGACTTTCATAACGAGGCGTCTTCGTCAGTGATTTAGACCACATTACAGTTTTCCGTGGAAGGCTCCAGCATGCCCATTCCTGATCAACACCTCTGGATCTCTTAGCGATTGTATTACATGCCAATTTTGCAATAATTCCTGAAAAGCCAAGAATCTTTTGCTCACATAAACACAATATTCATTCAGCATGGCCCTAGAGTCTAGATCAGGGATCTCGAACTGTGCCCTTGAACCAACACAGCTGATTTAAATGGCTAAATGACCTCCTCAACATGTCTTGAAGTTCTCCAGAGGCCTAAAACCTGCAGGACACCGGCCCTCGAGGCCTGGAGTTCGAGACCCCTGGTCTAGATGGTTCATACAACTCTATCCTTCAAACCTATAATGTCTAAGCC